ACACACACACACACACACACACACACACACACACACACACACACACACACACACACACACACACACACACACACACACAGGTTGGGGACACAGCTAGCCTCACCCAGGCCCTGTTATCACCCAACATGACGACAGGTAGCACCACTCACCCAGACTGGGCTATCTGAATGCAAACAGCAGACCCCAGCCAGTTTCCCAGCTCCTGAGGCACGCACCCCCCTCTGTAGTATAAACCCAAAATTATGTCTACTTGTACTGCACAGGGATCTGCACAATGTAAGCTCATTAATATGTCCTCACCTCCCTCAATGTGGAGAGGAATATGCACATTTGTGGTAACCAACCTGAGATTTTCTCCCAGACACGTCACTTAAAGGCACACTGGTTTAGGTTAAAATATAAACAAGTTTATTAACTACCGAAACAGATTTTTTTTTTAAGGGATAACAAACAGATTATCTAGTAAATAAACAAAACCACAAACTAAGCCTAAAATCCTAGAAAGATAGGATATGAATTAGCAAATTCCAACCCTGGCTTATTATACAAGCAGGCTTGCAGATTCTTAAGGGATAAGCTGCATTTGTTCTGCAGCTTGGGATCCCCTCCCCCATTCCAAGTCTTTCTTTAGGAGCTTCTCTCAGGTGTTCAGTTGTGGGGAGTGAAGAACAATAGATGTCACTTCCTGCCTTGTATAGCTTTAGAATATGGTGGGAACCCTTTGTTTAAAAAACAATTCCCAGCCCAGTTTGTGGAAAAATACATGCTCCCAAAATGGAATCCAGAGTCATGTGGGCTGGTCACATGTCCATTGCAGAGTCATAGCAGCCATTACTCACATCGTTCAACAAAAAAACTTCAAAAACAGACTTCAAAGAGAAACTGCAGAGCTACAATTCATTTGCAGATTTAATACCATTAATTTGGACATGAATAGGGACTGGGAGTGTCTGGCTCACTACAAAAGCAATTTTCCCTCTCTCGGTATTGATACCTCCTCATCAGTTATTGGGAGTGGACCACATCCACCCTGACTGAATTCATAGAATCATAGAATATCAGGGTTGGAAGGGACCTCAAGAGGTCATCTAATCCAACCCCCTGCTCAAAGCAGGACCAATTCCCAACTAAATCATCCCAGCCAGGGCTTTGTCAAGCAGGGCCTT